TTTACATTTCGCGCTATGACAACAAAATTAGCAAATGTTTCTTACCGCTCACTACTGGCAAGAATTTACCATCGGAAAAAAATTAACAGAATGTATAAATTAAATGAAATGAATTAAATAACTATTAATTGGCCCTATTTTTCTAGATATGTAATAGCATTAGCAGCACTATGAATTCAAATCGAATGATTTCAATCAATTCCTCTATAGATTAAATTACTGAATTACTGAATAATAACTCCATCAATTACAATAGACATTACATTAAAAATATCAACACTCGTAACAACTTCCCACTTTGTCACAATTCTCAGGCCATCTGACCCCAAGAGTCTAAATTTACTTATTCACTTCAAAATAAAAGCAACATTTTTTCCTCTATAAATATGTGTTCAAAATTCCCTTATTTAAAAAAATAGACACAAAAACCTTAAATATTCAACATACTGAATTTGATTGCAATTCAGAAAAGCAAACCACTCATGGCAACAGTTAAAATGGTTCTGTACTTAAGTTAATCATTAAGTCAGGTGGGCAGTCAGTCACCCTCACGGTCATTGCTCTCAAAGTCAAAATCAAACCTTATGCTCAAACAAGTCGCTTCTACCAAAAGCAGCCCAAAAGATTCTTTTCCACATTTATTCCTGTAAGGTAAGGATGACATGCACTCACAATATACACACACATAGCTGCAATATGTATACAGCAAAGAAAACATGCTTGGAGATATTTATATCCTCAAAGGTCCTCGAAAGTCTTTCACTTCAGTTCTACTAACATACATGCTGTATTTTTGAAAGATCGTTCTATTGAAATGATTGTGCTAATGTCATTTGTCACGCCAGTTTTGGAAATGTTAAAGGGACACCCTTATGGCTGTACAGGCCCAACGCAACAGCTCCTCTGGCTCTGACCCAATCTCTTGTAAGAGTCTATTTTTCTTTCAGTACTTACAATCAAGTCTAACATACTTTTAATGCTTTCACATTTGCTGTTATACGAGGGTAAAATTCTGCTTTGTGTTTGCATGAATGGACAGATGAAGAAGGATCAGGTCCATTGGCAGTCATTATTATCCCAAGCTTGCTGGCTCTCAGCACCCTGATCGTTGTGTCTCAGATAATATGGAGCTTTATTACCAAAAGATCATCAGCTCAGATTATCATAGGCTCATCTTCAAATGTAAATGGTATTTGAAGGAAAAATGATCTATCATGTTGTTTGAATGCAAATATTAGATGCCAAATATTTGGTGCTTGGTTTTTTGAGGGCAAATCATGAGAAATATAGTATGTTGAATCAACTTTTAGAAGGGGACCCTGTACCTTTGGACACAGGCTTTGTGAACATGCGGCCTGCACAGGATGCTCTGGATCCATGGGATATACCTGCTCAGTGCACTCTGGAGGGGGTGGAGCCATTATGGGCCAATCTGCACGGGTCAGCTAAAACAAGACAGCACATCCACTGCTGTAGTGATTAAAACTCTTAAAGGTACAGAACACAACTCAATCATGAAAAGGTGTCTTCTAAGAATTTACCACAAAACTACAAATGTTGGATATATCTTCTTGTTTCAGAAGGGTCAAATCAACCGGAGGCTACTGAATTTGTGGATTTTGTCCTTTTCCACATAGCAGTGAGCAAACATGAGAATATAGTCAAGATGTTATACTGCCAGACACGCCGGATGCCCATGTACCTGGTTTTGGAGGCAAGCGTTCCAGGGAACCTCCTGCATTTTCTCTGGCGTCTTCAAGAGGTAAAAGCACATACAGTATACAGTATACTAATGATTAAATAAATTTAGCGGTATTACCTTAGGGTTTCACCCCAGTGACAGCCCACCCCATTTGTTCCTTTTTTCTGAGAGTGTATGTTGACAAAGAATATACATCTCATAACTCAATTTTCTTCTTAATGTAACTCTTACTGAACAGGACAGATGTGGCGCAAGTGATAATTTCCAGATGTTTTCAGAGAGGTCCATTTATCTTGTAGCTAAACAGGTAGCAGCAGGACTGGTGAGTTGTTTAGCTACTGTGTACACATACTTAGTAAAACAAAAATCAACTGTAAGACATGTATAAATTCTTTAAATGATTTATTAATGATTTTTCTTAGGACTATTTACTCTCCTACCACAGAATTATTCATGGGGATGTCGCAGCCCGGAACATGTTGATTGGTTCAGGGCTCTCTGTGAAAGTCTCTGGATTGGATTTGGCTTTTAAGAGCCGGCAGTCGAGAACGGTGGCCAAAGAACAAGAAGCCAATGTGCCGGTAAAATGGAAGGCCCCTGAGCGGATGATGAGGCTTCTAACAGACAAAAGTGATGTGCGAGTCAATCAGAGCTTTAAACAACAACAACAACAAAAATTTCTAACAAATACTGCACTTTGACCAATGTGCTAATGTTGTGCTGTCCTACTTCTTCAGATGGTCTTTTGGAATCCTGCTTTATGAGATGATAACCCTGGACCTAATACACCAGTTGTCACTTGAAAACATTTTTTTATCAAAAAATACAATGAAGCAAACAAGATAGGAGTCTTATTTTTACCTTCCTTCTCCTTTGAAAGGGTCTCCTCCCTATCCTGACCTGGATCCATCTGAAGTGCTGCCAAACACTTTAGCCCATTACCGAATGAAAAGACCAGAAAACTGTGGAGCCCCATTGTAAGCCTTATATTTTACATAACATGTAAATAGTTGTTTTGCTCCTCTATGAACAGCAACTGTTTAAGAAAATCTAAAATCCTGTTAAAACAACATATAAATGACATTTTCTGGCATGTCTTGCAGGTATGACTTAATAAAGTACTGCTGCATGTGGAACTTCAAGGACCGGCCTGTGTATTCTGCCATTATTCAGCTTCTAGACTCGTACAAATACTTCGCTGACACAAAACCACTTTGCGCTGGACAGCAAATGGACATCTGTGAATACAGGAGGAAAGCAGGACTGCCTCCATGTGTAACGGGGCTGACGAGACGTGAGACGTGTGGATCCATCTGCAGGCTTTATTAAAGAGACGTTGTAAACAGGCAGGGTCAAACAATGGCAAACAGGTATATGGCGGGCAAAACACAAGAATAGTCCCAGGGCTAGCGTAGGTCACCGATCGGCAGACAGAATCACAGGGGTGAGACGAGAGGGAAAAATCCAGGAAAACAGGCAAAGATCAGAAACCGCGAAAACAGGCAAGGCAAGGCAAAACAAGGAAAACACAGAGACTCGGAATGGGGTACGGGCTAAACAATACTCAGCAGAGAAAGGTGGTTAGAGTGGGTGTTATATAATGAGTGAGGTGATTAGAAACAGCTGTGTGCAATGAGTGCAATCAGTGCAGTGTGCAAATCGTGCAAAGAATGATGGGATATGTAGTCCGGGGTGCTATGCAACAGTTTGTGTTGTGCGAGAGTCAATGTAATGGAAAGGGTGACCTCTGGTGGTGAATAAACGGAAGTCCATGGACCGAATTCGTGACACCATGAGATCAAAGAAACATTTAATTGATCATTTCTACAGTGCGTGAAAATGGCACAATTGATTCAGTTCCATTAAGACTGACATCAATTAATAATAATAAAGTCTAGCCTTGTCACAACCAGCAGAATGTCACTAGAGGTCGCCCTATTTCTCGAAACTGGAGATTGCATGCATAGTGGTCAACTAAAATTGATTTAAATGCTTCCAGCTAAATAAATTTGTTACTAATGTAAAACCAAAAATATAAAAAGCTTTTTGAACCTTTGTCATTTTACTTTTTTTGATTGAAGTGGTGGCTAAAGCCATGTTATTTATCTAAAGTAGGGTGACCATATAGCCTCTTTTTCCCATGTATGTCCTGGCAGGTGATTTCTAAATTTCCTAAAGACTCCAAGTGTTGGCTTTTTTTTTTCTGGCTCTTTTCTGGCTCTCTGTGGACATTTACAGACATTATAGACCCAGTCAATTCCAATTTCAAACATCCTGCAGTATTTTGATGGAAATAGATACCATGATACACTTTTGAAAAGGTTACACCTGCTACATCCTTTGGTGGTTGACCTCTAAAAACCACAAACACAATTCTTCTTAACACCACTAAATTTTAATAAAAAGTAACCACAAGTGGTGTACAGAACACAAAATAATGCCTCAATACTGTTATGTTGCAGGGTATCAACTTCCCACTGAACCTGTGAACAGTACATAGCAAATTCAATGGAAGATCACTCGCTAAACACAAGCAATTACCGATAACTGTGAGTCAGGAAGCAGAACCCCTTAAAACAGAGGTTAAATGGTACAGATAAACTCATTTATCAAAATTAAACCAACCGTCATATTGTTACGAGGCATTTGTTTCAAAGGCCCACCTAATATTATATGGGACATAAAGTATTTTAGGTCACACATTAACCAGGCAATAGATAAACTACAGTATATGATGATAGCCACTACCTTAATCATACTGTAGTGTTTTTACATGAAATTACACAGATCATATGCATAAAATTCCCTTTTTTTAATAATTAAGCAGAAATCTTTATTATGATTGAGAGCGGAGTTTCGGATTGTTTCAGATTTTTCGGTTTCATAAACAACCAAAAAGCAGTAATTCTACAAGTATAAATTCCACAGCAAATTTGACAATCTCTACTTTGCTTCTTGACTTTTTGATTCGTCAAGAACTGTGCAACAAACACCACACATAGTGTATCCAAGACATCTACTGTGTCTCTGTCAACATGCCATGCAAACATGATAATACATGTGAAGCAGAGGTAAAGAGCATTTCTCATCCTTAGCGATGAAACATCAGCAGCAATCAAGATGTCCGTAAGCCTCCTAGATCATGTCGATTTCATGAAGTTCATCACCTCAAAACAAAAATGATTTAAAAATTGGGTAACACTTTCTATGAAGCCCATATTTATAACACATTATAAGGGTATTCTTAAGGCATTATAATGAATGCATAATGCATTATAAAAGACCTTATAGTATTATAAATATGGGCTTCATAGAAAGTGTTACCAAAAATTGTTTTCCGAGTTTCTAAATTGGTTTGATTTTCATTTGCAGGAAGGCCATTACCCCTTTACACTTTGCTGCTCCACAGGGTTGTTGGAAACAATATGTAGGAAATTGACCATAACAAGTAGTAAACGCACGCTGGAGGGAAGGAGGAGCAAAACACCATGGCAACTCCTAGAAAAAGAGAGGGAAAAAAGTAGAAAGTAGTTATTCAGTAAATAATTGTAAATATTTCATTGTACATGCTAATTTCCCTATTTTTACATTTAACACTTGCTTGATCTTTAAAAGCATCAATACCTCACACTACTAAAATGCAATCTTTAGCAAATCTCAAAATGAATATCTGTTTTTCATGCTGTACTTTATAGTGTTGTGTCTGGCTTTACCTCCAATGTAGACCACCTTCTTCCAGGCCTGAGACTCCAGTACTCTGTCATGTGGGTAGAAGTTCTGACTGACCATGAAGAGAATCATGGCCACTGCTAGGATTCTCAGTACTGCCATATTTCCTCCAGTCAGCAGAGAAACACACACCAGGATGGCAGAGGAGTAGATGCATGGTAGGCCACGGTACATGAATGGGATTCCTGCAGAAAACAGCAGACACCTTTCTAACTGACAGCCACTTTATTTAGTGATATGCACAGTTACAAACAGCTGTGCTACTTATATATATATATATATATATATACACACACACATGTGTATGTATATGTGTGTGTGTGTTGAAAACAATTTTGGTGTAAGTTCCTCACCACTAGAGAAGAAGCAGAGACGAGTATAGACAGACAGCACATACAACATGCACAGGATGTTATCCAAAAGACTGGGCGTCCTTAAAATGAGAGATGTTGCTATTCCAAATGTTGTGAAATCAGCAAAATCATCCAACTTTGCACCTGCAGTACAAAAAAAGTACACTGCAATGCATTGTTGACACTGACACTGTCTTAAAAACAACATTCATGGCGCAAGACACTGGAAAAAAACAGCAAGACTCAAAGCAGCTGCCAAGGATGCCAGCTAGAAATGCTGTCAGACTTAAAGGGATAGTTCTGTTTCATGTTCCTGTGGCTCAGTGGTAGAGCATTGCATTAGCAGCGCAAAAGGTCAAAAAAAGGTCGTGGGTTCGATTCCCAGGGAACACACATACTGGTAAAAAATGTATAGCCTGAATGCACTGTAAGTCGCTTTGGATAAAAGCGTCTGCTAAATGCATAAATTATTATTAATTATAAATTATTATATATTCCGCTGTCCTGTTTACTGACTCTTATTTGGAAGTGTTCCTGTGCTCTGTCTTCCTGCCTCCATAGTCACCCTCATTTGTTTCATGGTAATTCATTAGCCTCACCTGTTCCTCATTAGCCCTGTGTATTTATACCAGAGATTGTCTTACTATTGGGAGATGAGAGGGTCTGTATTACTTGCTATTGGAGAAAGCGTAATGGCTTACTTGGATCACGTGCGCCTTAATAACCGATCACATTACAACCTTAACGTCTTTGAATTTCAGTCAGAGTTGTGACACTCAATCGCTGTTTACGGATAGCATAGGAATGAATGAGAAGTGCTGTAAGCTGAATCCCACCTGTCGCAAAAAGTCAGTGACTTCTCTTATAAAATCAATTTTTTTTTCAGTGTAAACTCTAAAATGGGTTCAATCCAAAAGTATTGCTTAGTGTAAAACATGTTGAAGATTAGCCGATAGGCTGTCGATTCATTAAATGATGAGCTGTTTCCTCTAAAAAGCTGTTTACTCAGTGTAGTGAAGCCTTTCCTCCATTAGTCTCATGTAGCCCAAGAGGCCATATGACTGACAGGTAAAGCAACCAATCACGTTTCGTTTTGTGCCGCGTCATGTTTAGGGGCATGGAAATGTCGCCACAATAACAGACCGGTGTGTAAAACTCTCGGACATATTTTAAAGATTCTATGCAGTGAACTTTAAATCTCACAATGGCTTTCATCTTTCGTGAGGGGGTTTGGCGCCACGGCATTTTTGTTTCCAGGCGGAGCGCTAAAGAACGCGACACACACGTCACCCAGAAATCCTGTATAATCTAACCAATCCGATGATGACTTTCGAAACTCCTGAAGTGTTTCCAGCTAAGTGCCGTATGCATCAGACGTTCAGCCAGCGATCCGTGGGCATGACGTTTGAGGCGTAGACTATTCCTCCATTGACATCCATTCAAATAAAACGGCCTCTGGTCTCCTTTCCATTAGCATTAGCCATTACGCTTTTTTGGCTAAAGCCTCGTACACACCGGGACGATTATCGCGCACGCTTATCACCGATGTCTTTCGACGCGTCTTTTGTGTTCATACCCAAGCGATTTTCGCAGGCGATGAGCCGAGTGAACGTGCAAATTCACTCCCTGACATTAGATGGCGCTTAATGAAAAACAGAAATACCCCGGTACACATCGAATCCTATTTGATCTGCAATTCCTCTCCATAACAACTCCCTCTTATCGAGATTTTTGTAGTCGCTGTCCCTTGTCATAAAGCCCTTTGTGTTCAGACACCAATGAGACCAGCAGCTCTACATTCATCTTGCCTCGATACATCTTCTTGGTCTACTTACTTCCTCTTTGTCGTTAGGTATCAATGTGTGCTCGGCAAGACCGTTTTGTGCTTGAGCGCCACCAAGTCGTGTTTTACTGTAACTTCAGCAGCTCCAGGCACGTGAATCTCATTGGTCGGCCAGTTTTTAACGTGGCGCGCCCGAGGCGGTTTTTAAAAAATGACGCTTTTACGCCTCGCGTTTTGCATGTCGGTGTGCACACTCACATTGGCGCCCTTTGTTTAGTCATGAGGCGTTAAACGTCGGCGATAATCGCGCGCGATATTCGTCCCGGTGTGAACAAGCCTTAATGGTTGCAGGCTTGCCTTCTAGTGGCTTTGTTTATACCCCTGTGGTTCAGTCTTGGTTTGTTGGTCGTTGTCTGTATATTCTATTGTATAGCTGTTGTGTGGTTCTGCCTTATTGTTTATTAAATAATCTACTGCATTTAGATCCTTGCCTCATCTCATCCTTGCCAGATCGAGACAAGTTCACTCAAAAATGAAAATGAACCATGAGAAATCTTCAAAAGAGCTTATCATAATCTACAAACAACATTCAGGACTCGCTTTATCGCTAGTGAGGTTGCAGTGTTTTCATCAGGTTGGGACATTTGAGTGTGTCCAAACAAACGGGCAGGAATTTCAATCTCGTGGTCAACAATTTGAGCAATGTCAGATATGCTGGGGGTCCAAAGCATCAGGATTTAACAGACAATCAGAACATAATCCCCCTGAATTAGGCTGCTTCATCACAAACAAACTGTTCAATTGACAAAACAGGGAAGCAAAACACCCATCAGTGAGATCATGCAGAACAGGCAACAGTATGCAGCTCAAGAGTACAGGTGACTTGGCACTGTGAGGGCACCACGAAGCTATTTCAGGCAGCTGAGTGGACGTGACCGCCTGCACACAAGCCACTGGTTTTACACTACAGAGCTGGCAAGGTTGTGTGGTTTGTAAGAGAAAGCCTACTTTTTTTTTGTTTGTTTGTTTGTTACAAAAACTCAAAAGTAATAAATGAATGCATATTTCACTGACTTCATTTTAAATATTACACTAAGAAAAAAACCTATGGATTTATTTATTAATCATTTTTATTTAATTTAGCAGAAATGTACCATAGCAGTGGTATAAAAAAATGTAGGAATAAATTATCAATGTAATAATTCAAACTTTCAGCTTTTTTTAAGATTTATTTTTGGCGTTTTGCCTTTATTACGATAGGATAGTGTAGAGTAAACAGGAAGCAAAGCTGAAGAGAGAGAGAAGGGTGGGATTGTGAAAAGTCCTCGAGCCGGAATTCAATCTCGGGATGCCCGTAACGCAGCAGCATTATATGTCAGTGCGCTGCCCACTAGGCTATCGCCGCAAAACAAACTTCTTGTTTTTTGAATGGACAAATTAACAGTCATGTTTAAAACCGGTCCCACTTTATATTAGGTGGCCTTAACTACTATGTACTTACATTTAAATTAATCATTTGGTACAATGCACTTATTGTGTACATACATGTTTTTACATTGTACTTATATTTTTAAAAATACCTGTATGTAATTACATCTGAAATTAATTTCTGTAATTACATTTATAATTACACTGTTGACCCATCCCTTACACCTTAACCCACCCTTAAACCTACCCATACCACCAAACCTGTCCCTAACCTTACCCGTATCCCACCTCAATAGCAGCAAAAGTGTTTTGCAATACAATATGAACACAATAAGTACATTGTACTTATTTTTTGATGCAAGTACATAGTAGTTAAGGCCACCTAAAGTGTGACCTTAAAACCTAACAGACATAGTTGAATTTTAAAACGCTGCATTGTCCTCACCGTGCTTTGTTCTACACTACGCTTTTTTCGCTTATTTGCACATATGCAGTTTTTTGTAGTCCTGTGTAATATTATCGGCCCTTATTCTAGTTCTTATTTGATTCTTACATAAATTTAATTCTTTGTAGTTTTTATTTAAATTTTTAGTATTTTATTTAATCCTGTTTAATCTGTGTTTACCTTGCAGTTTGGTGTTGTAACACCGTGGTCCTGGTAAAACACACTGTATATGGTGGTAATAATAACTATATGACTCTCATTTATTGCATATTTTAAAACAATAAATTAATATTCATTGATATATTTAATGTTTCAAAATGTAGTTAAAACTACATATACATACTACATACTACATACTATAATAATTAAAAAAAACTTTAAATGCTAATTGCTTTTCCAAACAATTTGCCAACTGCCTTTTTTTTTTTACATGTTTACATTTGGGTTTTTAATCCAATGGATCATTAAGGATTACTGATCATTTATTCCTTCCCTTCATTTTATTTATAAGTGGTGCTTCATAAGGGGACTGTAGATGAAAGCATCTAAAGATGTCTAAAGCAACAAGACTCACCCCTGGCCCCACTCACTTGTATTGAAGGGCACTTAACACTACTCACCCAGTGAAGAACACGCATTTAGTTGCCTAGCAACAGCTCCATCTGCCAAATCCAGCAGGTAACCGATCAGAACCAGCCAGCACGAGGCATGATGATGGCTGAGAATAACAATGGTGGCAGGGCCATAAAGAAAGTACAAAACAGTGAGAAAGTTAAACAAAACAAACTTCACTTTATAGCGCAAACTTTTTTAGCTGTTGTCTGAAATTCCTTCTTTCTACTTTCTAACACAACATTCACTTTTTGAATTTTTATTGTTATATTTTTGTATGCATTTGGTTTTCTCAGCAAAATCAAAACCATGAATGCATACCCATTGAGACTGCAGAGGATTGAGGCCATGCCCATGAGCATGTTGGCAACAGAAAGAGCGTTGGCAGCATTTTTACGGGCAAACTCCTTTAGATGCACCCAGTTAGCTCGTTCGTTCAGGAGCAGTTTGTTAGCGTTCTGGAAAAAGGCTACCAAAAAGAAACATGAGCAATTACACAACAGCTCCATTTATCAGTGCATGGTTTGGAGAGTTCTCAGTTACGTACAAATATATTAAGGGAGTATGAACTGACTGCATTCCACTGAAGTCAACTAGTTAAACTTTAAAATATCTGTTAATTAACTCTAAAGTGCAAATTCCTCTATAGTCTAAACATGTGATGTTTGTAATTATTCACTCAATCTCTCTAAAACTTATTAACATAGTAATATTAACATATTAAATAAACAACCACCAATGACTCTCTCACTTATTGCAGAAAGTGTTAAAGCCATGCTTTTCAGAAAAAAAATCAAAGTACAGTATTAGTCCACTTCCAGAATAAAAATTTCCTGATCATTTACTCACCCCCATATCATCCAGAATGTTCATGTCTTTCTTTCTTCAGTCGAAAAGAAATTAAGGTTTTTGAGGAAAATATTCCAGGATTTTTCTCCATATAGTGGACTTCAGCGGTGGCCAACGGTTTGAAGGTCCAAATTGCAGTTTCTTTGCAACTTCAAAGGGCTCTACACGATCCCAGCGAGGAATAAGGCTCTTATCTAGCGAAACGATCTGTCATTTTCTTAAAAATAAAAATGTATATACTTTTTAACCACAAATGCTCATTTTGCACTAGCTCTGTGATGTGCATGCACGTCTTCACGCATTACGTAATCACAATGAAAAAGTCATGCGCAGTTAGTTCTTCGTCTGTACACTTTGGTTCAAAAAGGTATAGGGGCAGGGCGAAAAACATCTAATTTTCTCCTCCAACTTCAAAATCGGCCGACATCAATGTTCCCTTTTTGTAAAGGGTGTCTGACTTTCTTTGCACGTTCGTTTGTAAACACTGGGTCTGCACTTCTGCTGATGTCACGCATGACCTTTCCAAGTAATATGGTTAAAAAGTATATAAATGTTTTTTTTATTTTTTTTTAGAAAATGACCGAAGTATTTACATTTTTATTTTTAAGAAAATGACAGATTGTTTCGCTAGATAAGAGCTTTATTCCTCAGCTGGGATCATGTAGAGCCCTTTGAAGCTGCAATGAAACTGTAATTTGGACCTTCAACCCATTGGCCACCATTGGAGTCTGCTATATGGAGAAAAATCCAGGAATGTTTTCCTCAAAAATCTTAGTTTATTTTAGACTGAAGAAAGAAAGACATGAACATCTTGGATGATATTGGGATGACTAAATTATAAGAAATTTTTTATTCTGGACCTGATCCTTTAACATGCAGGACTCTATCCGATGCCTTTGCACAAAAATATTACATTAATAAAACTGTATGTAAAACTATGTCAAGATAAGCAGAGATATTCTTTATGGATGCTATGCTCTCACCAGAAAGTTAACTCCTCCACAAGATGTTAATATATATATATATATATATATATATATATATATTGTACAAAGTGTAATTTTGAAAAAAGGGTAAAAAAAAATAAACATCATTGTAGCAATTAAAAACATTTTTTAAATGAAAAAAACAAGCACTGAACAATATGTAATTTCAACTAGACAGAAATTACGACATTCAAAGGCTAATTAAATATTTAAAAAAAAAAGACATGCTGAGGTAAAAAGACATACACTTACCAACAGAATGAAACTCTTGCTCACTTATTAGATATGATCAAAACAATGTGATTACAATCCCTCTGTACACCAAAACCACAAGGCACTATTACCACATCAAATGACACATTTTCTAACAGGAATTATAAGGATGTTTTGGGAGAGAGCATTACTGAAGTTATGACTCATTTACAATTCAAAAATCACATTGAATCTAAAACCATCAGCCCTCTAATCTGACAAACAAAAGCTATAGAAACATCTTATGTTCACACTGCAGACAATTGTTGTTCAAATCCAATGTATTTAAGAAAGACTGTCCAAGAAACTAATTTAATTCAGTCACTGTCATTTTCCCAACCAGATGCAGCAAACTATCTGTAAGGAGGCTTATATACATCACGGCATTTGGGCTTTAAAAAAACACACACACACATTTGGGCTGCCAGTGTGAACAAGGCCTAAAAGACACCCAGGAACCCCTAGTGATGGTTAAAGTATCAATACCTTGTACTACGAGAATTTGGTTCTGCTTTGACAAACATTTGATTGAGGGGTTATTAAAAACGGCTGACATCACCATTTTTACAATGAGATGTCTGTCTTTGTGCAAGAGGTTACGCTTACTCACACCCACGACAACTGGCAATCATGCAGTGCACTGCGGATTCATATCCCGAAGCAGCATTCTCATAAATCATTCATTAATCAACCATCTAAATGGCCAGTTTTTACTGTATCCAAGCACTGTTACTGCAGTTTCACCTAGAAGAGCTATTGAGAATGCTATACTATACAGATAATAGCTAAATGTGTACATTCAGATTCACAATGCGCTTCCACATGTGGAAATGAAAAAGAATATGAAAAGATGAACAAATGAAAAGAATATTAATAGAAAATGTTCTCAAAACAGGTAAATAAGCAAAAAAGACTTGCTAAAATTCAAGTGCTTTTCTTTATGTGTGACCAAGACTGTTTTGCCACTGGAACACTGCAGTGATTTTCAATTAAGTCACACAAAGAGGTCTTTGTGTTGGAGAAAATCAGTGGGCATAAAATCTAAATGAACATCTCAAGCAGTTGAATGTGTGTTTTGCTAGAGAAATTCACATAATCATGTGTCACATTTTATTTACTATTCAGTAAGCATTTGAATGGTCTTTATTGGGATATTAGTAGATAATCAAATCCCCCATCAGCAGATACACTTTATGGACAAAAGTATTGGGACACCTGCCATAAATACATACATCCAAATACAGAGACATTAATATGGAGTTGCTCCCCCTTTGCAGCTATAATGGCTTCCACTCTTCTAGGAAGGATTTCCATCAAATCTTGGAGTGTTTCTGTGGGAATTCTTGCCCATTCATCCAGTAGAGCATTTGTGAGGTCAGACACCAATGTTGGACAAAAAGACCTAGCTCACAATCTTCCAGTTCATCCTAAAGTTGTTCAGTGGTGTTGGGGTCAGGGCTTTGAGCAGGCCAGTCAAATTCTTCCACACCAAACTCATTTAATCATCTCTTTATGGACCTTGATTTGCGCACTGGGGTACAGTCCCATACCATTTTCCCTCCTCCACCAAACTTTACAGTTGGCAAAATGCAGTCAGGCAGGTTACATTCTCCTGGCATCCTCCAAACCCAAACTCACCCATCAGACTGCCAAACAGAGAAGCATGATTCTTCACTCCACAAAACTTCACTCCATGATTCTTCACGCCACTCCATTTGACGCTTGGCATTGTACTTGGTGATGTGATGCTTGCGTGCAGTTGCTCATGCATGGAAACCCATTCCATAAAGTTCCCATTGCACACTTTTTGTGGTGATATTAACACCAGTGGAAGTTTGGATCTCTTTAGCTATGGATTCATTCAGAGTGTTTGGCGACTTTTGCTCACTATGCTCCTCAGCACTCAGTGAACCTGTTTTGACTTTATATGGTATACTGCTTCGAGTTGCTATTGTTCCTAAACTCTATCACTTTCCAATAATACCACTTACAGTTGATCGTGGGGTATCTAGCAGGGATAAAATTTCATGAACTGATATATTGGCAAAAATGGCATCCTGTATTACAGTACCAACTTGAATTCACTGAGCTCTTCAGAACGACTAATTTTTTTCACAAAGGTTTCTAAATGCAGACTGCATGGCTAAGTGCTTGATTTTATACTCTTGTGGCAATGGGTCTGACTGAAACACCTGAATTCAATAATTAAGAGGTGTGTCCCAATACTTTTGTCCATATAATGTACTATGACAAAAGAAGAAAAAAAAATGTCTATGCATGACAATCTCTGCAATTTTCTTTGCAGGTCAACTTTCATTCTTTGGCATGTGCTGCTTTTCTAGGTGAGAGAAGCATGCAAGAACACATGCACATGTGTCATTAAGTGTAAATCTTTTGAGCTCAGTAATACATAAAAAAACTTGCCTAACATTTACAAAGACATCAAAAAGGTTTAAAGGTGAAGTGCGTAATTAGTGTCATTAGCGATCAAACCCTCCCCGTTTGCCACTGGTCAGCAAAACAGATAGCTCTGCCCCAAACTCACACCATTCATTGAGCCAATGTTGCTATGTCAAGCTGCTCAAACCAACAGAGTGATGTTTTGATAGTGCCATAAAACCAGAGTGTTTGTTTACACTTTTAAGGGAATCAACCAGTGAATGTTTTACTTATAGCTGTCTAGGCATAAGAAACTGGGAGTATTCTAAAGTATAAAAATTACACACTCCACCTTTAAGGAAGGGTTCCTACTATTGTGTTTGTAACCTGAACTTGATGTGATTCCAAAGCCAGTTGATTTCAAGCGACTCTTCATCTGAAAGAAAACAGTCAATGAGACACAGCACATGCCAACATACAGAATTCACCATAGAGCTTAACGTTCTTTGTACTTTGAGGCAATAACTTCGCATGTCAAATGTTTTCTATGAAGTCTGTAAGGTTTATTAAAGCATGTGTGATATTTGTTGAAAATCTTAAATGAATAAAGCTGCTTAAACCAAGAAACCTAATATGGACTATATTGGTAGGGAAACAAAATTAAAGCATACACTACCATTCAAACGTCTGAGGTCAGTAGAATTTTTTTTTAAGAAATTAATATTTTTATTCAGCAGGGATCCATTAAATTGATCTATTGACAGTAAAGACATTTATAATGTAACAAATATTTCTTTCAAATAAATGCTGATATTTTGAACTTTCTATTCATCAGAGAATCCTTAAAAAAAATGTAAAAGATATTAAGCAGCACAACTGTTTTCAACATCGATAATAGTAAGAAATATTTCTTGAACACCATATAAGAACGATTTCTGAAGGATCATGTGACACTGAAGACTGGAGTAATGGCTGCTGAAAACCCTAAAACATAATTTATTTTAAAATGCAATATTATTTCAAATTATTACTTTTTACTGTATTTTTGATTAAATAAATGCAGCATTGGTGAGCATAAGAAACTCACCGACCCCAAACTTTTAAACAGTAGTGTATAGACCTATTATAGTTCAACTAATAGTGTCTGAAGTAACCTTTCATTTTTACAGTACATGTATATCCAAAAAGGCTTTTAATTAAAGTCAGGATAGCCTATTATGTTTGAAAAAAAAAGATCCAAGTTTCACAAAATAAAATGTGTCGCACAAAATACACCAGTATTGGACTATCAGAGCTAACAGATGAAATGTGGCATGACAGTATTGCAGTAAGCTACGAAATTAATGGCATTAGATTTCTACAAATGCAATGCCATGGCACTAGAAATTCAGAATCACTTATGCACTGTGTTTGCTTGTGCCACTGTCAAATGGTTTAACAATCACAATATCAATATATGGAGCTTCCTGTTTACAGACCCTAGTAGTAAACCTCAAATTACATATTACCTAGAGAAAGAACTAGAACTTAGTCCAAAGTATAATGAAGCATGAGGTGATGAAAGAGAAGGACTTCCTTTTTGTTGTGGGAGTGTAATCTTAACAACTAACAAGAACATCAAAAGAGCATTGCAACTATATTTTGCCTAAAGACCCCTAGTAGCCATTACCACAGGTCTTTGTGCATGTCTAGTTCCTTTGCTCCATGTGACAGAAGCCTGGATTGACAGGATTAACATGTATCTGTTTCTAGAACACTGTATAATACTGTACATAGGAAAGGCATCACTCAAGTTGTGTAACTGAACCTCAGTGTAACCAGGTAACAGTAAAAACCAAGAACTTATTTGGCAGCTAGTCTAAGCAACTATGGGACAAAAACACCACCATAGTCATAAAAATCATGGCCCATATTTTCCAATTAACAGATATAAGAGCCAACTGCTAAGAAACAACTATTCGTTTATCTATAAAAACTGCTTTGTCATTAGTTTGCATGTAAATGTTTCATCAACCTTTTAATTGTTTATTTGGGGATGGATACATAGTCAAAAATGGGCTTAAATCCAGCTCAATACACTTAAGTTAAAGTTTAACATGTTAAAGTGCAACCAAGCCTCTAAAGCTGTAGCTCTGTCCTCCACATATGAGGAAGTCCACACTTGTTTGTTTTTTCTACAACTTCACATAGTTTCAATCTTGTGCCAACCATCCCAAACCTTGCCAAGATTACTGACTGCAAGAACACAGTTAGTGCCACTCATTATTAAAAGAATCCTAAACATAAACAGCCATTTTCTTTGCTGTAGAAAGCAGAAATGGCATGTGCCACTGTTTGCATACAGTATTAATCTACTTACCAGATGTGGGCGTCAGGAGGATCATGATGGTCAACAGATCTCTCCACGTCAAACAGCACTGAAACAAAATCAAACAAGAAAGTCAGCTTTACTGAATGACGATAAGAACAACATAATATCATGTACAGCAAAAAACGGTGTAATCTGTGCTTTCAAGTCCTGCCTCACAAGTTAACCTGCCCACTAAGGCACACCACTGTAATACCATGGTGCTTTTTTGTTTTCGTGCCAAATTGTACAGCCTAATCTTAAAGACCCACCTTAAAGGGGAAATATATGATGCGATTTCAATTTTTCCTCTCTTTGAAGTGTTACAATCTCTTGGTGCATAAAAAAGATCTGTAAAGTTGCAAAGACTAACGTCTCAAATCCAAAGAGATATTCTTTATAAAAGTTAAGCATCAACCACCCCTAACTAAAACGGCTCATTCTAACACGCCCCCACATGTCTACGTCATGATGTGGGAAGATTTGCATAATGCCGCCCAAGAGGTATTATGCCAATCACAACGCACTGGATAGCTGGCCAATCACAGCACACCTTGCTTTTCAGACCGATGAGCTTTGTAAAAATCGACGCGTTTCAGAAAGGCGGGGCATAGAGGAGAAACAATAATGTACAGTATGTGGAAAATAATGTGTTTTTTGAACCTTAAACCGCATAAACCCAATTACACCAAATACACAAAATAATGTTCTTTTTAGCAACATCATATGACCCCTTTAAAACATAAGGCAAAACACTACAACCATTGTTTTTCATTTTGAAATGGACTGGGACTATTTTGCTTATATTTTTCCTTCAGATTAGTGGAAAGAAAACATCCAAAATACACATTCAAGTGTTTTTACTCCATTACATTTTATCTATTTGCATCAGTCGATTTCAATTACAACACATAGGCTATCTTTAAAGGCCATTTTCTGAAAATTCTTTTCTTTGTGATGCATTGAGCCAGAAATATCCACTTCAGTAGCACTTCCATACACCAAACTTTCCAGGTCAGAAAAACATTATGACTTTTTTTCCCCTGGCAGTTTATAGTATTTCCTGATTTAATATGTCAGCAAAATGAAACAAGAATTTGAAACTTGATGATGCCCTATTTGCATCTAAACATAACATTTTACAATAAATAAATAAATAATTGTCTTAATGTACTGTGATCAATCAAGGAGGTAAATGAGGTGGTATCTATTAGTTAAAAATTTACCTTATTCACCTGTGGTATCCGGCCTTAAAGCTGGATTACTTCTATTAATTTTTACATCTATTAATTATCATATAATCACATTTTAGGACGTTCATTATTACTATCACCGTTTTTAATCACATTAGTAGCCTTGTTGTTTTCAGTCAAGAGTTCCTCAAGACCTTCCCACACCGTTTAACACATTTTTTTATATAAAGGCTAATTATAGAGCTCTGTTTCGTCAGTAAAAGACTATCAAATGAATTAAAGACAAAAACTCTTCTTATAATACTACAGTGATATCTGAAGGCTCGATGAGATCCATTCACGTTGACTCCTGCCTCAGGACCACGTGTATATTACATAAGCCTGCATCCCAGATAGCAACAGAGTGTGGGCCGAGTCTGGCTTACATTCGGCACTTCTGGCTTAATTCTGGCGCAGTTTTTTTCACAGTCTGGTCACTGTTATACACAAGTTATACACTGTCGCACTTAAGAGGAAAAACTGGTTTTCTCACAAGTTGTTATAACTACACCTGCCAATACACTGATTGATGCGTTATTATTAAGGTTAAGTAGCCCGTATGTATGGTGAAACTGGCATTTTATGACCAAAAAACAAACAAACAAAAAACAATATCTTCCGCAATTCTTCTGCAGTTAAACAGGCTGCGTATGCCTAATGTCTGCGTAAACTCAGTTTCATTAGTTTACAGTATAAACAACTGTGCACTCCACATCAGTCAGCCTGATGAGACTGTCCCGACTCCTGTATATCACGTTGCAGGTTGTGGTTTCTGCGCTCAGCTATCGTAAAGCATTAAAAAGACGCATCTGAATGTTTTCTGCGCTTTATTATAGAAACACTGAATGAATATACAGTGGTTCTTATTGCGCCCCTTAAAATATCAAGTAGTCTTCCATTAAGTCGTTAAATTAAGGATACTGAGCAAGAGCCTTTCAATATAACAAGAGTTTACGTTGCGTATATGAATAAGAATATAAAATCCATCATATAGTCTCATCAAAATGTCTCGTTTTAAAACTTGATATCGCTCTGAGAACAAACTTACCTTCAAGGTCAAGCACAGAACGATGCGACTCAAAATTAACGCAGACAAATAAAGGCTTTTGGTGGTCAGCTTCGACGACACAATATTTATAATTTACATTTAGTGAGTTGGGTCCCCGAAAAAACAGTTATGACCTTAAAAGGACAAAGATGACATTTATTTTACAGACTGCACCTGTCTGTCACAGACAACGCTTTTCAACGTATTTTCAGCGCGTCTCTTTTTAAAGGCATAGCAGGATTCACTGGAATATTCCACCGGAAATGACGTCGAACAGTTCTAGCTCTTTCTCTAAGCACATCACAATTTAAAAAAACAAAACAAAAAAACAACGACCGATGGGGCTGTTCAGCATCATCTGTCTCTAGCCTTGTCCATCGGCGAGAATAGGAGGGTGCAGAACAGAGGAGTTGGAAAAAAGTTGGACACTTACTGATTCCCAAGTGTGTGTGTGTGTGTGTGTGTGTGTCAAATTCACATATAAATTTAGTAAGTTTTATTATATATCATTATTAATATTTTTAATTATTATCACTGTATGCTGTGCTATATCCTGACAATAAAATAAGTTAAAGTTATACTGTGGTAACTGCACAGTATGTGTGGGTTAAATGCTGTCACTGTAAAAAATTGTTTCGTTATGTTTAAGACCTATGAACTTGCCTAGTCACAATATGTTATTTAATTAATTTAAAGTGTCTTTTTTGTTAGTAGATGTAATGAATTAGCTAATAACTTTCATGCTTATAAAGCTATAATTTTTGAGGAAATAGCAGCATGGTTGACAATATATATTTAAATGTTAGCCATTACAAATTAACAAGTAAAATGTGCAAAATGTGTAAAAAGTTTGCTGATATGCAGGGATCACCATAAACAGTTTCTGCCAACGTTCTTACAAAGAATTTCACAACAACAAAAGCTGAGACAGGGAAGGATAATGCAAATCTTTAATGGTTTTTTTTTTTTTTTTCCATTTAATCTAACATGGCTATCTAAACTTAAATTGAAAACGTAGTTTCACCAAAGGTTAATTTCTGCCATTAATGTTTAGGACGTCAATTGTGAGGTTTGTGTGAACTACCATCTCGCAGAAGCTTTTCGGACATGTGTAGCGGACCTTGTAGTCCTGACAGACCCCTCCACCCTGCTGCTGATTATTCACGCATTCAAAGCCCTCATGTGGATCAAATCTGCAGAATAAGAGCAGATGGCTGTTAATCATTACAAAATTACATATGAAATTAATTTATGTGTTTATAATATTTTTAGTCATACACTTGAAAAAGGTTTCCAGTCAGCAGTGCAGGGCTCCCACTAACGGTTGTGACCACCTCAATAGCAATGGGCAGATATGTGACATGTGATGTACAGACATATGATGATGTCTGAATGTGAGTTCATTTTTTGTTTCTCTACAAAATGCTTTCAGAAGCATGCGCCCTGTAAAGCAATGTAATAGATTTGATAGACTTACACATGAAAGATGTCTCCAGTTGTATACGCTGCCTGACCAGAGACGGTCTGAGCCTCTATTCCGATTGGATTAGTACATATTTGTCCAGGGTACATACTGAGAAGGTCAGACAAGAGTTCAGAGTCGCTTCCATTTGTTCTAGGGCTGTCGGAATTAAACCACCTGGTTACACACGCTGATTAATACAGCACAGAGAAAAAAATAATTATTAAAATAAAAAAATGACCCAAAAAATGTATAATACTAACAAAATAAATTCATACTACACAGGGAAGTTGAGTACTTAGAATTATGATACATACTCGTGTTGCAGAAACTTAATGGACATGTGAAGCGGACCATGTAGTCTTCACAGGCCCCATTCTTACACTCAAAGCCCTGTAACGGGTCATATCTACAGAAAATAACAAATATATTAATTGTATTTATAAAATGGAATTCATAAGCAGTTTTGTGCAAAAGATTTTGCAAAGGTGTTCCTGAAGATCCAGAACAAGCAATGATTAAAGGTGCAATAGGTGATTGTCTTCAGAAATATTTTTTGTTATGCTAGTTGAAAGTCTCTTCACATCCCGATAGCAATTATTAAGTTAAGTGGTCTAAATGTATTTATCTGTATTTACATATTACAGATAAGGCGTAGGACCAAGAAATGTTCATCCAATCAAAACGCTCGGTCCGAGCATTTTAATTGGCTTTCCTACCTGCCTGTCAATGTATGTATTAGCATACCTCTGCACACCCTGTTCGCTCAGACAGGATACGTCATCAGCGCGTTCACGCACACTGTGCAGACAGATTTACTTCACTTCGGAACATGGGCTGGAACTGACAATGGCTGATGTAGCCTATTGTAGTAATGTTGTCTCTGGTATTCTGGTCTGTGAGCATCTATGCGTTCAGGGGGCGTGGCTTTGGACGGCGATTGCAGGGAGGGTGGGACATTCGCTTTCAGTGCTATCAGGCTAAAGTTAGCATTTTCCAAGATCTCCCCTTTAAGCTTTTCATGTCTATTTGACATCACATTAAGAAATAACAGCATAGTCTATTTTAATTGGAGACATTTATATGGAGAATATATGATACCGTCAGTGTTGGGCAAGTTACTCAAATTACTGATTACTGATTACTCCTTTTAAAAGTAATCACGTTACTGTTCTGATTACTTTATTTAAAAAGTAATTAGTAATCAGTTACATTACTAGTTAGTTACTTTTTTTCTCCATGAAATTTATGAAATCCCAGCATACACGCTCCTGATAAATATTTGTTATTAAAGCATCAACATTCACAGAACACTGTTATTTTTAACTAAAGCAAG